TCTACAATTATGGAATATTTTCAATTGTTGTAACCGAAAATAAATCACATCCTTCGGTTCTTACCAACATATCCGATTATATCTCTATCAATCTATCTGTAACATTAAGTAGCAGAATAATCGAACACCTAGCTGGAAACCACATGGTTAATTAGTGACCGAGTTGGGACAGGCATTCAGTTTCCTTGCCCCAGTTACCAAGGCTTTGAACAAGAACCCACCTCAGTAATGGAAGGTAGTGATGGATCTTCTCTAAGATCACCATTATTGGGGTTTCAGAAATTCAAATCCCTTTCTGTTTAGGAACTGACGGGAAAGGAAACAGAAGTATAGAATTAAGGCATATTTTTACAGATTAATATAAAAGTGAGCCTCATTTCATTTGCTATGGAAGACAAGGCAAGAATTGAGATCATTGATTTGAACAGATTTGGGATTCCACCAAGATAGCACAACCATTTTTATATCATCCCTCTGGTTGGAAGAATGAGCCAGTGCATTCTTGTGAAATCACTTCCATCTGTTCACAAAAATAATTTCCCTTCAAAATAACTCCCCACTTGTTTTCAGCTGGTTGGTGGCCTGAAAGATGAGAGGCTTCCATTTCATTGCTGGATCTGCTGATGCTCAGCCCTTTGCACCAAATTCTTAGAGACGGCTCACTCTCCCAGTGTGATGTGCAGCCTGTTGTAAAATTCCACGAGTTTGTATGTGTCCAATGGTACAAAATGTAATGATACAGAAAAACAATCCCTATTTCTGCCCCGCCCATTCCTGATCATTATTCTAAAACGTTATCATTGATATTTAGAGCTCAGGTTTTTTTCTACTTCTACTAAGCCTTCAACATACTAATCATTTGTAGTATGACTTATGATGGGCATAATCGCGTGACTCAAATTTCCAATGATAGTATATTTACTCATTTTTTAAAATAATTAATTACGTGCTAATTAATTATGCTAAAGGAATAATAAATTCAATAAAAGCCATAAATTGGGGCGACTGGGTGGCTCAGTCAGTTAAGCGTCTGACTCTTGGTTTTGGCTCAGGTCGTGATCTCACGGTTTCTTGGGTTCGAGCCCCACATCTGGCTCTGCACTGGCAGCATGGAGCCTGCTTGCGATTCTCTGTCTCCCTCTCTCTCTAACCCTCCCCCACTAGCACTGTCTCTGTCTCTCTCAAAATAAATAAACAAAAAAAAATTTTTTTAAAAGCCATAACTTGAGTTTTGGAGTTTAGCAGATTGGAGTTTAACTTTGGCTCTATCATTAACTAGTTAACTGGCCTTGTGCCCAGTTACTTGAAATCACTGAGACTCAGTGCTCCCGTATGTATAATGGAATACAAATATTTGCCTCCAGGATTTTTAGGAGGATGTCATTCCACATTATGAGTAAAGCACTTAATACTGAGCCTGGAACATAGTACTCCACAAATGATATGTATTCTGACTATAGCACGTCTATATATACTTCATATTCACTGACTGTCAATAATTATCATAAAATTGAAAACACATGTAAAAGAAATTGTGTTGAATTTTACTTCTTGCTTTATACTTTAAATGGCTTTCTGACTTCTGATTGTCAGGATCTTTAAAATATTTTTAAGAGTTCTGGGTGGCTCAGTCGGTTAAGCATCTGACCCTCAATTTCAGCCCAGGTTATGATCTCACAGTTTATGAGTTCAAGCCCTGCATTGGGCTTTGTGCAGATGGTGTGGAGCCTGCTTGGGATTCTCTCTCTCTCTCTCTCTCTCTCTCTCTCTCTCTCTCTCTCCCTCCCTCTCTCCATTCCCCTTCAGCTGTCTCTCTCTCTCTAATTAATAAATAAAAACTTTAAAATACATAAAGAAAATAAAATACTCTCAAGAGTTCTAAATAGGAAAAAACATTCCAAGTACTTTTTCATCTCTTAAAAAAATCTCCTAATAGTAAAGTTAAGGACAACTCAACCCATGTGCACATGTCACATCTTTCATTTCTTTTATTTTTTTTAAGGACCCCTGGTAGGTGCCAAGCTGGATAGTAGAGGATTAGCATTAAGTGAAGTTTGAGATGGGAAGAAAAAATGCTGTATAATGTGTTTCCTCTTCGGCTCAAAACAAAACAAAACCAAAACCAACCAACCAAACCCTATAAAAATAAATCCTGTCAGGGCGCCTGGGTGGCTCAGTCAGTTAAGTGTCCGACTTCGGCTCAGGTCCTGATCTTGCAGGTCGTGAGTTCGAGCCTGGCATCAGGCTAAGAGCCTGGAGCCTGCTTCAGATTCTCTCTCTCTCTCTCTCTCTCTCTCTCTCTCTCTGTCCCTCCCCTGCTCACACTCTGCACTCTCTCTCTCTCTCTCTCTAAAATAAACATTTTTTAAAAATTTAATAAATCAATCCTGTTATGGGGCGCCTGGGTGGCTCAGTCGGTTGAGCGTCCGACTTCAGCTCAGGTCATGATCTCGCTGTCCGTGAGTTCAAGCCCCACGTCGGGCTCTGTGCTGATAGCTCAGAGCCTGGAGCCTACTTCGGATTCTGTGTCTCCCTCTCTCTCTGACCCTCCCCTGCTCTTCTGTCTCTCTCTGTCTCAAAAATAAATTAAAAAAAAAAAATTAATCCTGTTACGTCTTCCGCCAGCTTTATGAAAAGGAAAGGAGAAAAATCAGAGCAGGTGTTCTTAACTGTTTTTGTGCCATCAACTTCCCAGATAAAGTGTCTTGATTTTTGACATAATAATGAAACAATAATTTAAGATAACTGTAATGCAATAGGAAAGATGTATGATTTCCACAGGTGACAAAGGTACAGGTACCCTTAATATTGCTAAAGTTCAGGTCTTATATACAAAATGGAAGGAAATACCTGAGGAAGCCAGGTAAAAACCTAAAAATGTGCTCATTATAATTGCAACTGTTTAAATATAGAATAATATGAAAGGAAATGAGTTGAAAATTTGAGATTGAATTATAGACATTCTAAAACTTTTTTTTTTTTTGCCAATATTGCTGCAATTAAAAATCATTAAAGATCATTAAACCATGAAAAAATTTAAACGTGACATAAAAAACTGAAGGAAATACTAAATTGCAATTTGGGATTAATGAAAATAAAGATGACATTTTTTCCCAACCACGTTTGCAGACCGCCTGGATATTTTTTTTTTTAACTTTATTTATTTATTTTGAGAGAGAGAGAGAGAGAGAGCAAGTGGGGGCAGGGCAGAGAGCAAGGGAGAGAGAATCCCAAGCAGGCTCCATACTGTCAATGCAGAGCCGGATGAGGGGCTCGAACTCACAGACGGTGAGGTCATGACCTGAGCCAAAATCAGGAGTCAGACATTTATTGACTGAGCCACCCAGGCGCCCCCCGCCTGGATATTTCTGATGAACCCCTTGGACACCACTCGAAAAATTTCTACACTGAAAGCATACCATGCCCCATTCCTATCTTCTTTTTTTATTAATTTTTTTTTAATGTTTACTTATTTTTGAGAGAGACAGAGACAGAATGCAAGTGGGTTGGGGCAGAGAGAGAGGGAGGCACAGAGTCTGAAGCAGGCTCCAGGCTCCAAGCTGTCAGCACAGAGCCTGACGCAGAGCTTGAACTCACAAGCTGTGAGATCATGACCTGAAGTCGGATGCTCAATCGACTGAGCCACCCAGGCGCCGCACATTCCTATCTTCTTAAACGTAAGGTACATTTGGAATATTTAGTTCCCTTAAATTTTCTCAATCACAGTAAAAATTAATTTGCTGTATTAAAATTTACAAAACAAGGAAACAAATGTGGTAGTGCTTTTTCCCTTCGAGCAAAGGTTAAATGAACAGAAAGCAATTATTTTTACTTTCTTACAAAGTTTTTTTCTAGTGTGACTTTTCTATATTGTTAACAGAATTCTATTTCTTTTTTTCTACTTTCTCCGAGTATTCATTTTATTTTCAAATTCATCTACTTTGCTATATTTCTATGATAAACCACTATAATATTTTGTGGCAAGGATTATATGTATACATAAAATTTTGGCCAAGAAAGGAATGAAGTTGAAACCACAAGAATGTGTGCAGTCAACAATGAAAATTATACTGTGCCAGTTCTTGCTAAAATCTCTGCTAAATAGTAGAAGGAAAATCCAGCCACTTTATTATGCTAAAGGATCTCCCCCTTGTGCCTAAACTCTGTATTGAACTTAAGCAGGATTGAAAGTCATGATATATGGCATGACTTTAAAAAAAGAAAGGAAGGAAAAAAGTGACTTCCCTTCTCATATCAAGCAATTACTCAATATTGAGGGTTTGGGGCTACAAGTCTAATACCATTCTAGCATGACCAGAATAATTGAGTGGCTTCAAATAATTTGCAGTAACTGAAGACTTGCAAATATTTTTTTAAATGTTTATTTATTTTTGAGAGAGACAGAACGCAACCAGGGGAGGGGCAGAAAGAGAGGAAGACACAGAATCCAAAGCAGACTCCAGGCTCTGAGCTGTCTGCACAGAGCCCAACACAGGGCTCAAACTCACAAACCTTGAGATCATGACCTGAGCTGAAGTCGGACGCCCAACCGACTGAGCCACCCAGGTGCCCCAAAGACTTGCAAATCTTAATGAGGGTTAGTTGTCTGAAGATGTTCATTTCAGCCTTTTTTATAATAGCAAAAATTTTGAACAATCTACATAGCAAAAGAGAATACGATCTAGTTCTATGATGAAATGTTTGTAACCATTACAAATCACATTTTTGAGGAATTTTCAACAACGGCAAATTGATCACAATATAATATCGAAGGAATAAAACAGTATTCAAAGAGGTATATATTTATGGAAAACTCCCAATTATATAATATATACTTCTTTATTCATTCAACAAGTACTAAATGATCTAATTGATCAGGCTAACAGAACATTTCATCCTTCAGACTTCAATCTGGTGACCTCAATCACTCAGAGGTTTAAAAAATTATTTAAGGGGTACATGGGTGGCTCAGTTGGTTAAGCATCTGACTCTTGATTTCAGCTCAGGTCATGATCTCACAGTTCTTGGGATCAAGCCTGCTATCAGCACAGAGCCTGCTTGGGATTCTCTCACTCCCTCTCTGTCTGCCCCTCCCCGACTCTCTCTCTCTCTCTCTCTCTCAGAATAAATAAATATTCAAAAAAGCATTTCAAATGCTAAAATGTATCACCTATTAATCAGTCATTCATTCCACCAACCCTGTGTGGGACAAACACAAAAAAGCCACAGTGGGGAGCTGCCCCAAGGAATGCACAACTAATGCGATTCAACACTTTAGAAATGTCTTCTGTACGAACTGATTTTCCTCCCTATTTTCTTTTTTTTTTTTTAATTTTTTTTTCAACGTTTATTTATTTTTGGGACAGAGAGAGACAGAGCATGAACGGGGGAGGGGCAGAGAGAGAGGGAGACACAGAATCGGAAACAGGCTCCAGGCTCTGAGCCATCAGCCCAGAGCCTGACGCGGGGCTGGAACTCACTGACCGAGAGATCGTGACCTGGCTGAAGTCGGACGCTTAACCGACTGCGCCACCCAGGAGCCCCCCTCCCTATTTTCTAAAAGGTCTGAAAATGGAGCGGATATTCTATAAACTAAAAGGAGGGGATGTGACCCACCAAGGAAAATCAGGAAGGAAGAACGAGGTGAATGGTGGTGTCTAAGGGATGGCTCAGCCTAAATTTATGTTCCACTCACAACAGTATCTGTCTGTGTGCAAGTTACCCTGCAGGAAGGGAAAAGATCAGGTTTTACAGAATACCCAGATGGCCGCTAGGGGGTGCCAGAATGCTAATATCTCTGCGTGACTCCTTTTCCTAGGGGACCCGGGATTTGAGATTGAACATAGTTCATGTTGACCAGAAATAACTTTTCCTTTTCCAGTAAAATGGTCAGAATGTGACAGGTTACATGATTAATAGGAGACCAGGGATTAGAAATCAAGTATTTATGAGTCCCAGGCCATTACTGAGTCCCAGGCCAGACTGCTACCCAAGGGGAAAAAAACAAAAACAAAAGCCCCCACAAACTTCTATCTCTCCAGGAGGGACTAATCAGTGAATTAGAAAAAAGTAAAATGACAGCAAGAATAACAAGGAAACCAATTAACCGGACAAAAACTCCAGGAGCTGGAAAAAATACTTCGGAATTAAAAAAAATAAAATAAAAATTACTTTTCAGACAGTACGATCCTGCTTTTTTATCTTAGAAATGTAGAAAATATGTCTGTCTATGGAGGAAAACTTAGAAATACATACATAAAGGGGCGCCTGCACGGCTCAGTTGGTTAAGCGTTTGACTCTTGGTTTCCGCTCAGGATATGATCTCACGGTTCCGTGAGTTTGAGCTCCACGTGGGGCTCTGCACTGATGGTGTGGAGCCTGCTTGGGAATCCTTCTCTCCATCTCTCTTTGCCTCTCTCTCAAAATAAATAAATAACCTTAAAAAAAATGCATACATAAAAATCAACAGGGGTATTTAAAGGTGATAGGATTATGCTCTTGTTTTTCCTATTTTTCCCTTCTGCTTTATTCATTTTCTATAATCTCAAGACATCACTGATTGCTTACCATAAGAGTCAGACATTACATTAAAGCTTCATTTAAGTAGTAAGAGATGCATGTGTAGAAGTGTTCAGTCTTTCCCTTCCCTACCCTCCAGTTCAGAAAAGAGAGAGAGAGGAGAAGAAAAGTTTTATGGAGGGAGAGATTCCAGAACAAGACTCATTGGGGGGTTTGGGCAGAAAAATGGGTGGGAGAGGGAATTTTAATAAATAGAACTCTGAATTGTTTTTGATCCACTCTGGAATTTTCTTAAAATATAAGTAAAGAGTTTGAACTATGTTGATATTGTCTTTTGTGATGGGTGTTTCTTTTACAGAAACATGACCGTGAGGTTGAACAACCAAGGTCTGGCTTGATAAAGATTCAAAAACATTACTGCATTTTATCCAACACAAAATACACCTCAAATTATAGAAAGAAAAAAAAGCTGGATCATTTCAATAAATCTTGTCCATTTGCTGGGGCACCTGAGTGGTTCAGTTGGTTACATGTCCGACTTCGGCTCAGGTCATGATTTCATGGTCTGTGAGTTCAAGCCCCGCATGGGGCTCTGTGCTGACAACTCAGAGTCTGGAGCCTGCTTTGGATCCTTTGTTTCCTTCTCTCTCTGTCCCTCCCCACTCAAACTCTGTCTCTCAAAAATAAGCATTAAAAAAAAAAATCTTGTCCACTGTTGTTTCATCAGAAAGTAACATAAACCCATGGAGTATAAACCACCAACCTCACCTAATTATTTACCTGCCCTTCATCCATATTTCCATAGTGTACATAAGATACTGGGTCTATGTCTTGATAAAAATGTATTGCATGAAATGTATAACCTGCTGTATTCAAGAGCTACTTCATGCTTAACCAAGTATGACATCAGCAGTTGAAACAATTGCAGATGCTATTTTGGGAGTTTCCCCAAATCACTCAGCTCTTCAGGGGGAACACCACCCCTAACTGACCTCCAAGCCTGGTGGGTTGAAATACGTGAGGGAGCGGAAGACTATAGACAGAGCCCTGACCGTTGGGTGTTTCAGTCCCTCACTGCAGCGGCCCTCAAGTGGATGTTAAGAAGCAGTTCAAAAACCAAGGCTTTGCAACAAAAGAAAAAATACATAGAAGGACTTTATCAAAGTAGAAAATTTTGGTGCTGCAAACAATGCCATCAAGAAAGTGACAAAACAACCCACAGAATGGGAGAAAATATTTGCAAATTATGTATCCAATGAGACCTTGTATGCAGAATATATAAAAACTCTTACAGCTCGGTAATAAAGATAATCGAATTTTAAAATGGGCCAATGAATTAGAAAGACGTTTCTCCAAAGAAGATATGCAAATGGCCAATCAGCTCAAATACGCTCAGATATGTTAGTCATTAGGGAAATACAAATCAAAACCACGAGAGACCACCTCACAGCCAGGAGCACAGTTGCCATGGGCTCTAGCATGTACTTCTAGGCGTGTCCCCAAGAGGGCTGAAACCCAAGAGGACTGAAAACCTACAGCTACAACTGATGACCTTGAAGCCAGTCACGAAGACCACATATTTTCTGATTCTTATTTATATAGGAAATGTTCAGAACAGGGAAGCCCACAGAGACCAAAAGTCAATGACTAGTTGCCAAGAGCTGAGAAGAGAATGAGGAATGACCGCTAACAGGCACAGGGGTTCTTTGAGGAGTGACAAAAACGTTTTGAAATTAGAAATCAAATTTCTGGTCATGGTCGCACAACTGTGAATATACTAAAATACCATACACATTAAATGGATGAATTGTATGTGAATTACATCTCAAGAAAGCTGGTTTTAAAAAAGATTCAAAAACGAAAAAGGGACCCTTGTGCACCGTTGGTGGGAATTAAGTTGGTGCAGCCACCGTGGAAAACAGTATGGAGGCTCCTCAAACCATTAAAAAAATAGGAATATATAGGGCGCCTGGGTGGCTCAGTTGGTTGAGAGTCCGACTTTGGCTCAGGTCATGATCTTGCGGTCTGTGAGTTCGAGCCCCGCATCAGGCTCTGTGCTGACAGTTCAGAGCCTGAAGCCTTTTTTGGATTCTGTGTCTGCCTCTCTCTCTGCACCTCCCCGGCTCATGCTCTGTCTCTCTCTGTCAGAAATAAACATTAAAAAAAAAAAATTTTTTTTAAACAGGAATATAAAAATAGGAATATACCCAGTAATCCCCCTATTTACACAAAGAATAAGAAAATACTAATTGAAAAAGATATATGCACCCCTATGTTTACTATAGCATTATTTATAATAGCCAAGATATGGAAACAACCAGGGTCTACTGATAGATGGGATAAGTTATGTTATATGCACACACTCATGCACACAGTATCACCCATCCATTAAAAAAAAAAAAAAAAAAAAAGAGGTCTTGCCATTTGCAACATGGATGGACCTAACCAAGATCATGCTAAGTAAAATAAGCCATCGAAAGACAGATAATCACATTTCACTTGGATGTGGAATCTAGAAACAAGAAAGGCAGAAAGAGATTTTTTTATCTTTTTTCATGTTTACTTTTGAAAGAGGGCAGGGAGAGGAGCAGAGAGAGGGGGAGGCAAAGGATCCAAAGCAGGCTCTGCGCCCTCAGCGCTAAGCCTACTGTGGGGCTTGAACTCGTGAGCCATGAGTTCACGACCTGAAGTCAGACACTTAACCAACTGAGCCACCCAGGAACCCCAGAAACATAGAATAGGGAGATCGACCTGATGGTTGCCAGAGAGAGGGGCGTGGGGGATGGGCAAAAGGGGTGAAGCTCCCCTCTGAGCTCGTGGGGAGCAGAGAGTGGCCCAATCTGTTGTACACCTGAAACTAAGGTAACATTGTGTGCCAACTAAACTTCAATTTAAAAAAGCCAACCGGTGAAGCTACAGGTGGGTCCCACCCCTGCTAAGCGTTTGTTAGACTTCCATCTAGAATCGACTTCCTCTTCCGTCGTGCCACTCTTCTTGTTTGCTCGTTTGCTTCTGTGCTCTTATAGGAGGGGGTGAACTAGTTCCTCACGAATCCTAAATTCATGTTCTTAATACAACATAATAAAAACAAAAAAATTCACTGCTTTGGAAAATGTGATTATTACATTTTCCCACACTGTGGCTATAAAGTCAACACAAATATACTCATTTTCTAACTCATGTCAAGTGTCTACACTTACACTATGCTCAGTATTTTAGTAACTTAATGTTTAAAACAGGAACACACATAGGTAAGAGTAAATTCAAAACGTGCAGCTTTATATAAATATTTGACATAGCTTTTTAAAAACACTTAGCAAGGTCATAGACTATAACCTCATTTAGACTAACCTCATTTATAAGCGACATAATTTAAGAACTGCTTTGGCAACACGTACATTATGAGTTTCTTTCTTAGACCTCATACTTAATCATCCCTCCTTGACTTTCACCCACTGGAAAAAATAAAACCAACAAGATTTTCAGTGCAATTCATTTTATTATACCAGTTCAGGAAAAACATTTCCAGGTTTATTTCCAATTTCAGTTTCAAAGCAAACTGACCTGAAACTTAGTCTTTAATATGAAGTAGTCACCAAAAAATGTGTAAGCATGTAAAAAATTAACTTGTTGGTAGTACTCCAAATTCAATGCACAAGAATCTTTTTTATCTAAAGCATTTTTTCTAAACTGCAGACCAATCTAAAAATCTGTTCATTTAAAACACTTACGTGTTAAAATACTACATTTCAGTTGATCATGGACCTTGCAAATAGAATGTAAAAAGGTACCACGGTTCTTCAAATACCAGTTGTTTCTGTTCAATCTTGGGTTTCCTAGTGTCCATTCCGCAGGTCAATCAAAATACAAAGGCGTGCAAATAAAACAGGGTATTTAAAAGGAAATAAAATTCAAGGAGAACAAAATTTAAAACTAACTTATGAGGTAAGTAATCTTTACGTCCATTGTTCAAATGTCACAGCTGTAAGAAATCCCTCTCTTTTCAAAGCGTATTTAAAATGTCTTCCCAGAGCCCTTATTTTTAGAGCGCCAAAACAAGTTAAATAAAATCCCATGCTTGTAAATACCATGCAGCATAGCATTAAAAGAATGTTAACGAACTTTAAAAGCAGAATTCACGCATTATTTTACTTTCTGCCCAATTAAAAATAGGTTCATTAGTACCACTTGAAATTATGCATTTAACTTGAAATAAGTTACCAAAATGCCAACAGAAACGTAAATCTCTGTAACTAGCTTACTCCGTCTATCTCCCAAACAATGTCGTGGGGCAAAACGTTCGAAGAGAGAAGCGTCCAGAGTGCACATACGGGAGCACCGAGAAGCCAGGCTTCCCAGAGCCAGGCAGAGCAGCCCCGTGACTCAATTCGCACACTGCCTTTCTGGGGATGCCAAGCGACTGTCAGATTTTTCCAGACAACTTAAGACATCCTAAAGCAAGTCAGAGCGGAGCATCAAACTGAAATATTCCATACTTCCCGGTGGTCATCCAGTTGGGCTCGGAGGCTGCGAGCTGTTCAGCTTGCCCGGGCTGCAGCCCCACCTGAACCTCGGCCTTTAATGTCCTTACACTGCAGAGAGGGGCAGGATGGAACCCTCGCAGAGCCTGATGAAAGGGAATGGTACATGCCCACTTTCTATCGCCTGTCAGCTTCCTATAGTTCAAATCACCCTTGAATAAAATTAAATGTGCCTTTTGTAGTTCGGCATATAAGTCAGGAGCAACCTGAGACATTACACAGAATTCATGAGGAAGAGTCCAAAATATATGATCATGGTAAACCCATCTGCCCATTTTAATAGAGTTTTCCCAGTCGGCCCCACACTTGGACATCCACTTGTGATTAGAACCTTTCATTTGTTCAATTAACCAGTTAAAATCATGGACAGTAGTATCAGAAACAAACCACGGAATAGTTTTTCCATAAAAATGGATCTCGGTAGCCAGTTGAGAGCACAACAGAAAGTCAGCTAATACTAAATCCGTAACGAGTTCAAACCCAGAATTATCCAGAACAACATCTACTCTAGTAACAGACGCTTTTTCTCTTGTTTTTTTGCAGTTGTTAAGCAGTGACCAAAGATGTTCCATGTCATTCACTAAAATGAAAGGTTTTAGTTCCTCCACAGAATTTATTATGTTGGTTCTCTGAGAACTGGTTTCCCCGCCCGATAGAGACAGATCACATTTATTGCCCCACAGCGAAATCTGAAAAAGAAAAAGTACACAAGTTTTACCCTTCTTTTGAATAACCAACAAAACCTCTATTATGTAAAATGTGGGGCAAGGGGTTGCTAAAACTATTCATAAAATTTACTTCTACAGCAGTCTTGATGCAAAATATCCATCAGATCTACACTTTCTCTAATAATGCAAAGATTGTTTATATCATGATGTATAATCGAGATTAAGACAATGAAACATTTAATTGGTCACTAGGTAATAAACTTTTTAAAAAACTGATCTGAATGATTTTAACGATCCGTGTTGCTTAATCAGAAGGATTTTGCATCTTGCAGATAAGAGAATATGATACACTGTGAAAAGAGGCTACAAAGTTTATTTAAAAATCCAAAGTCATGAGAAAAATAAGTTCCTTTTTCCCTCCTCCCACTCCTACCCAAACGGCTCAGTTTTTTTTTTACTAGTTATATAAAACTTAGGACCAGGCAACTTCTCTGGGATTTAGTTCTCTTACTTGTAAGATAAAGAAATTGGGCAAGGAGAATGTCTAAAGACCTCTCCAACTCTAATTATGTTATTCTATTTTAAACTGAAATAACACTCCAGCTTAGTTTATAGAAAATGGCATGCAGCCCCTCCTTTTTAAAGCTCTAATTAAAATTACATGCTTAGGAGTACAGGCTCTGGAATTAGATAGACCTGGGTTCAATTCCCAGCATTTCCAATTACCGACCATTGGTAAATTACAATGGTCCCACAACTGAAAAATGACGTAACAACAGCACTTACCTTGTAGAGTTACTGCGAAAATTAATCGACATAGTATGTCTAAATAATATACCCAATACTCAATAAATGTTAGCCAAAACAAACTCTACTTGTGTGATTCAAAATAAGAGGAAAATGCGTGTTCCAACCAAGAATATTATTTTAAAAAGATAAATGAATGGGGGCACCTGGGTGGCTCAGTGGGGTAAACATTCAACTCTTGATCTCGGCTCAGGTCATGATCTCATGGTTCGTGTGATCGAGCCCCACATCAGGGATTCTCTGTCTCTCTCTCTCTGCCCCTACCCCACTCGTGCTCTCTCTCCCTCAAAATAAATAAACTTAAAAAAAAAACCCACAAAGATAAATGAATGGATTTTTTAAGTGCAAGGCTCAAACAGTTAAGTGTCCACCTGACAGAGAAACAGTGGGGTCGATGACGGCACTCCTCAGCGGAGGTGAGGGTCTCTGCCGGCCCTCTGCAGGTTTCCTGCACCCCATCTTCCAGTTTGTAATTCCACATTAATTTGTGCCATTAACTGACTGTCTATATTCCCTCAAGATTACAAGTTCTGTGATAGCAAGTTCTATCTGTTTTCCTCACCATCACACGCCCAGCATCCAGTCTTTGACAGAGCAGGCATGAAATGTTTGTGCGGACAGGGGTGGAGTTCCATGGCTTCTAAAAACAGACCAACATTCCCTGCAAACCAAAACACCTTCATGTTCTGGTAGGAAGCTAAACTGCTGGTGATCCACCATGAGCGCTAATGGAAGGCAACTTTTGGCCTCCGTTACTTGGCCAGACTAGATGACAGAAAAGAGAGTGGTATTCCTTCTTCTTCACAACTTATTATATTACTTACGGGACAAAGACATATTCAAGGACTATTCCCGGAAACAATGGGCTAGCTAGGGATAAAGACTGATATGACTATTGCTTTTCCTTTTTCTTTTCTTTTTTTTAAGTCAAAGCTCAGCATAAAGGAATAGTTCCAAAGGGGGGAGATGACTAGGCTTATTATTTAACGACACCCTGACAACTTTCCTTCCAAACTCAAAGCAAGCCGTTCCCTCTTAATCACGCAGCCTACTGTGCTTGCCCTCAAAGTTTTACCAGACTCTGCGGTCTCTGCTTTCACAGTGTCTCCAGAATGCTGGTGACATTGAACATGTCTTCTCACGTGGGTCATTTTAATAACAGACTTCCCGGTGTCTAGCCTTGTGCCCCTTCAGTGTGTCCTGAGAAGTAACCCTTGAAACAAGTTCATCCTTGTTACTCCTCAGACGAAAACGCTCCAATAGCTCCCCAGTGCTTGCAATGCAAGTAAAAACCAAAGTCCTCACCTTTGCTTACAAGGCCTCTGTGGCCCTTCCACCCCCCTTGCCTCACCGCTCATTTCCTGCAGGATCACCTGGCACCTTCTCTCACACCCCCGCAGGTCCCTAGGCAGGAACGTTCCCCTAAACATGCATGGGACCCACGTCCTCACCTGCCTCGGGTCTTTCCCCATCACCTTCTCAGAGGCCCTTCCCTGGCAGCCCCACTTCACACTACACCCCTGCACCTCCCCCACCATCCCCGGTTCTCCTGCCCTGCTTTACCTCCTTTCGTGGCATTTTCTAATAACATCTTTTTCTGGGGATGCTTCTGACTTTTTCTGGGAGATGAGGGCTGGGGATACTGTCATGTAAAACCACGTATTTTCAAATAGTTCTGATTCTAATAACATACCTTAAATCTTCGGATGTTTTGAATGAGAATTAAAAGCAAAATGTAATACAAGACAGATGAAGGAACGTAACAAAGTCACGTTAAACAGACCACTGACGACCTGAGCGTTTACAGCTGATGGTAGCAGGAGGCTGTTCTAGGCTCTGTGCTTCACGCTGACAGGACTGAATCTAGTTTCATTCTCATGTCAAATGACGAGGTATACGATGCCGTCCTTATTTAACAGACGAGAAAACTGTAGCTCAGAGAAGTGAAGTGACTTGCCTCAGATCCAACAACAAACAGAACCAGCATTCAAGCCCAAGTCGGGGTAGGCTGACCAAATGAATGTAAAGTATCCTCTCAAGAATGACACAAGCAATGAAGCCAGATGACGCCTGTGCCACTAACATCACCTCCAGTCGAAGAAATTTCAAAACTCATTTTCAGAGATTGAGTGGATTTTTATATCTTGAATAACACTATTACTAAAATGATAAAAAATGATCAATTACAACTTAAATGACAATATATACACACGTGCTCTGTTGCTAAATCAATCCCAGTTTACTTTTTGACTGTTTAAATACAGGAGGGGCGCCTGGGTGGCTCAGTCGGTTGAGCATCCGACTTCAGCTCAGGTCACGATCTCGCGGTCCGTGAGTTCGAGCCCCACGTCGGGCTCTGGGCCGATGGCTCAGAGCCTGGAGCCTGCTTCCAATTCTGTGTCTCCCTCTCTCTCTGCCCCTCCCCCGTTCATGCTCTGTCTCTCTCTGTCTCAAAAATAAGTAAACGTTAAAAAAAATTTTTTTAAATACAGGAAATTACCACGTTTACCTGAAGAAGTTTGAAAAATTCATCTTTCAGCTGATTTTCATCTAGGTCTTCAATAGTTGTTCTCAACTCTTGTAGGTGAGTACACAAAGCAATGAGAGATTCCTGTGACTCAAAGAAATTTTGCTCTTTTGATTCTTTAAATACATCAAAGTCATCGATTGGCGGACTACAAGAGGAGAAAAACGTAAACGAAACATTTATAGAACTCTGTACCTTCTTTTATTTAACATTTGGGTAACTGCAATTCTTTAAAGGAAAGAGAATAGAAGCATCTAGTCTCAAAAATTAGTGGTAACAGATACTACATATAACATAGATCAATTACAGAAAAACAAATAATTATCAAATTATACACACTAAATCAATTTAATCCAATTACACAAAAACAAATCCCCAAACTCATTTTCGTTAACTGTCAGAAGTTCCCTAATCAAAATTTTACTGGAATTTTAAATAGTTGTAGCGACTCTATCTGTAATTATTCACCCAGTATGGTTTCCAGAGCAAAAGGAGAGAGAAACAAAAATTCAAAATAATTGCTTTAATTTAGCAGTTTTTGGGTGCTAAATGTGGCAGGGTTCCGAGTTACAAACATATGCATATACTTGAATCCAATGTGCTAATCACCAAGAGAGTAAAACATAGAGTACTATGGGAACCCAACAACTACTTGAGAGAAATCAGAAAATACAAATATAAGTTTTATTATAATGACAAATTTTGGTCACGTATATGTAGTTTCCTGGGGTTTTTTAGGTCAACTTTTATTCCCAAGTTGACTTTGACCAGTGGTGATACATGTGCTGTGGCTACATCTTTAAGCTGTCTGTCCAATGAGAGATCAATACCAGCCTAAGAGAAACATAACCAGCAAGGTATAAATAAGAACATCATAGACTTCACAGAACCAAATATAAAAGGTATTCAGATCATCTGATCTTCTAAATTAGCAACTTTTTCCTTGGATCATCTACCTTAGGATAAAAACAATGTGACTGCTGTGGAACTGATTTAAAAAAAAAAAAAAAAAAAACATACCAGAATTTACACATCCACATGACTGCTGTCTCCTTCCAGTCAGTCACCCTGGGAAGCGAGACCCTTATTCTGAGGATGCAGCCATTGCTCAAGCACTTCTGGAATTCTCTTCAGAACCTGCAGCACACTATTACACGCCCTGTCAGTGATAGCGCCTCTTTCTCCTCTGGAGGTCATTTGGAACCCAAAGTCACTCAGAGCAATTTCAGTAGAATGATGTGTGCAAATCAAATGGAGTGAAAGATTCTTTTTCTTTTTTTTATCAAAAATGAAAAATGACTAAAAAAGGAGGAGACTAATTTCTTTTTGAGGCTTGTAAACTGGCTCTGAAGGAAGTTCCAAAGAATTTAAAGATATTTTTAGCAATGGCAGCATTGCTGAAATAAATCAGTCTTTCAAAGTGACTTAAAAAAAAAAAAAAGATAAAAATTACTTGGATGCACAGATTCAAGCAGAGAGGTCTGCAAACCGCAGCTCGCAAACCCAGTGCGGGTCACCTGTTTTGTATGACCTGTGAGCGAAGGATGATTTTTACACTTCTGAATGGTTATACTTGCTGACACGTGAAATTCAAATTTCAGTGTCCATAAATGAAGTTTTAGGAACACAGCCACGCTCAGTCATTTACGTACTGTCCGTGGCTGCTTCTGCACTGCACGGACAGAGCTGAGCAGCTGCGATAAAGATCACATGTCCCCCCGCCAGCCCATAATATTTACTACCTTGCCCTTTACAGAAAAATGTTGCCAATCCTTGTTCTGGTGTTTTATTAACACATCATTAAAGTCACACCTCATTTTAAAAATGAGCCTTAAATTTGGGGGAAAAAAAGGGTTACACGTCCAACTCTTGACATCCACTCAGGTTGTGATCTCGCAGTCATGAGATCGAGCTCCATGTGGGGCTCAGTACCGAAGGGAGCCTGCTTGGGATCTCTGCCCCTCCCCCACTTTCTCTCTCTCTCTCTAAACTAAAAAAAAAAAAAAAAGCCTTATTCCTGTATTTAAGAGTAAACTCACACACTTACATTTGATTCCTGATTTTAAATTTTTTTTTTTTTAACGTTTATTTATTTTTGGGACAGAGAGAGACAGAGCATGAATGGGGGAGGGGCAGAGAGAGAGGGAGACACAGAATTGGAAACAGGCTCCAGGCTCCGAGCCATCAGCCCAGAGCCCGACGCGGGGCTCGAACTCACGGACCGCGAGATCGTGACCTGGCTGAAGTCGGACGCTTAACCGACTGCGCCACCCAGGCGCCCCTGATTCCTGATTTTAAAATGTTTACTATTTTAGAATCTACTGAGGCCATATATGTGCATACACTATGACCCAGGGGTTCACTCCTAGATATAACCAAACAGAAACACACATATATGCTCACTAAAAACATGTGTTTGGATGTTTGCAGCAGCATTCTTCATAACCCCAGGCTGGAAACTACTCAAATATCCATCAACAATAGATAAACAGATTGTGATATAGTCATATAATGCAACACTATGTACCAATGAAAATTGTTTACATTTATATGCGACAATACGGATGAGTCTCACCAACATTAATGCTAAATGAAAGAAACCGGACAGAAAAGTATATCCCATATAATTTCATTTAAATGCAGTTTAAAAGCATGCAAAACTAACACAGGTCAGAATAGTGTTATGAAGGGCAGTGATGTCAGGACTGAAAGGGGCCATGAGATGGGTTTCTTGGGTCCTAGTAAGGTTCTGACTCTTGATGGGGGCCCTTGGGACATAAGTGTGTTCTGGTAAAGATTGTTGAATACTTAAGATATGTTCTGGATGGGGGCATCTGGCTGGCTCAGTCCATATAGCATGCAACTCTTGATCTTGAGGTTGTTGAGTTCAAGCCCCACATTGGGTGTAGAGATTACTTAAAAAAAAAAAAAAAACTTAAAAAAAAAAAAAAGATATGTTCTGAATGCATATTATACTTTAAGTTTTACTTCTTTTTGAGAGAGAGAGAGCACACAAGTGGGGAAGGGGCAGAGAGGGAGACACAGAATCCAAAGCAGGCTCCCGGCTCTGAGCTGTCAGCACACAGCCTGATGCAGGGCTTGAACCCACGAACCATGAGATCATGACCTGAGCCAAAGTCAGATGCTTAACTGAGCCACCCAGGCGCCCCCATATTCTACTTTAATAAAAGTTTTAAAATGCTTGTTTTCTCCATACTCTCACTTTTCAACATCTGAAGTATATTTACTTAATAATTTACTTAAATTTCACATATGGCTGAGATTTTGTCTTCAGACTTGCAGATTATTCAACTATTTAACGCTGAGAAAAACTAAAACCAAACATCTTGACAAAAAAAAAATTACACGCATGTTTCAATATAAGGGGCAAAATCAACAGTGAAGGTGTGCTTTGGGATCCTAGAAAAGCTAAGAAGACCCTTCTTTGGTCACTGGAACTATCACTGGCCCAGGGCAGGAATTCCTCCTATGAATTGGGACGTTTAAAAACGATTTCATTACTACTTCTGTGGAATAGTACTTCCTTACACTGACCTAAAACCTGAGTTTGGATACAAATTGCCTGCCCCAGCCACCTTAGATCACCTTAGGAGAGGTCTACATCCATGAGAGATTAGTAGTTTTGTTCCTGCCACTTAAGGCTAAATTTGCCTTGAGTCCTTTTAGCAAGCTGTTTCCGGACCAGTGGCTATCAATCCAGGGTGTGCAGTCTTCCGAGGTATGGAAAGAAAAACTGATGCCCAGGCCCCACCGCAAATTAAATCATCAGTGTTTAATATAATGACTTCAAAACCTACATGTTAAAAAAATCTTCTCGCCCAACTGAGTTATAAACGTGTAGCCAGGTTTGTAAACTTCTATTGTAAACTTCTAACCTGGACTTTTTTATTCTCTGAACCTGATCTACCTCCAAAGGCAAACTCAGAAACACATTCCTTTTACCTTTCTAACTTCCAAACTCCACCAACTCCCTACAGAGAGCCACCCAGACACTTCAGCAGCATGGTATTGACTAGTAAGATGGATATTTCCTCAAGTTATGAAACCATCACCCAGAATTTCAGACTCGCCTTAGTCCTTGACAAGACACCCAAATCCACTACTTGGAAAAAGATGGTTTCATGAGGGCTCTAAACTGATTTATACAGAACAGGGTCAAATACTGACTGGACCATTTACTAGTCATGTAACCCTGGAAAAAGTTATTAATACCACTGAACCTCAGTTTCCTCAGACATCATGGAAACATAGTAATACCTATACTTCACTGGGTTGCGAAGTAACTGGAACACAGCCGATGTTCAGCACATGGCAGCTCCTAGTATTAGCTATAGTCTTGTTTAGATGCCTTCCACGTGCCAGGCAATGTGCTAGATTTTTAACAGCGCATTTTTTTGCTTTTAGAGCAAAAGTCCTAAAATACACTTATTCAGCAGTGGGTGTGAGGTCAGAAAAAATAATTAATTTAATTAAATAAACTTATCAGCAAAAACAACAAATTGTGACTTGAAAAAATAATTTCTGAAGTCAGAAAAAGCTAATGAATAGACTCAAATTATGCATGTTTCCCAAAATAATTTTTTTTATTTTACTATTCGTGCTGATTTGATCAACTGCTTTAAATTATCCTTTGCTATATTTAGGAACAGATACCAAAGAATTCCTTAGTTAGCAAACCTGTATTTTTGTAACTAGCGAGCTAAAAGGATAATCCCTATTACATTTTCTTCTGCTCTTTAAATCAGTTCTACACCTGAATTTTCCTAGGAAGAAATAAATTAGTGCAAACAAGCCTACAAAAAGTGATTTTAACATGTGTTTAACTTTTAAAGTCTGTTTCTAATCTAGCCATTAAAAAAAAAAAAAAGGCCTAAAAATTAAGATAGTACATAAAACCCTGTAGTGATTCACTGTTCTATTGACTCCTTACCCCAAATCAACTCTGATCTATTACCTATTTTTATAAACAAAACATGCTTACTCTGTCCTGTCTTGTTTTTTTACAGAAATAATTATTTCATATTAACATTTTTTGATCAGTAATTTTTATTTTTGAGAGAGAGAGAGAGCACACAAGTAGGGGAGAGGGAGGGAGAGGGAGAGAGGGACAGAGAGGGGGAGAAAGAAGGGGAGGGGAAGGAGGGAGGGGGGAGAGAGAATCTTAAGCAAGCTCCACACTCAGCAAGGAGCCCAATGCAGGGCTCGATCCCATGACCCTGGGATCTTAACTCAGGAAATCAAGTTGGGATGCTTAACCAACTGAGCCACCTGGGTGTCCCAGTACAATTCGTTTTACTCTAAACTCTTCATAAGAATTTTTATTCAGATATATTATTTTATTCAGATATTAGATCTTATGTCTATTCTAAACAACTGGGTTATAATTGCTAAGAATTTACTATATCAATAACATTTACAGAAATATCCGATACTCTCATTAATATCTGCTGAACTGAATTCTGGCTTCCACTGTTAATCTTTAAACTTATCATTCTAGGGGCGCCTGGGTGGCGCAGTCGGTTGGGCGTCCGACTTCACCCAGGTCACGATCTCGCGGTCCGTGGGTTCGAGCCCCGCGTGGGCTCTGGGCTGATGGCTCAGAGCCTGGAGCCTGTTTCCGATTCTGTGTCTCCCTCTCTCTCTGCCCCTCCCCCGTTCATGCTCTGTCTCTCTCTATCCCAAAAATAAAAATAAACGTTGAAAAAAAAAATTTTTTAAAAAAATAAATAAACTTATCATTCTATAATTTTGTAAAAGCATTAAGTTCTCTAAACATTTATTATCTGATGTTATATGCTTACCTTTGGATAATTGCTTCATGAATTCTACGATACATGTAGCACTCTACAAACAACCAAGGTGAGTAAAACCACCTGGGTTTCCCATCATTTTCATTTATAAGACTCTGTTGATATTCTAGGTACTGATTCCATATGTCAGTATCAACAAACTTCTCAACAAAAGGGATTATTGGTTTATCTGTTTGCAATTCATTTCGTAATTTAGAAAGAAGAGAAATTGCTTTCTTTTCAGCTTCTGTGCCTTTCTGCAGAAACACGAAAAAAAATTTTAAATATTTCAAAAATATAACTGAATACTCTATATTTAAATAATTTGTATATGCAAACAGTTAATATTATACAGAAATAAGTCCTCTAGGTTAACATTTTTAAGGTCCTAAAGAAGGAAAAAAAATACTAGACTTCAAAGCTACATTTTGTTTTTTACAAACTAATATAAACATTGATATTCAGAATTCTTAAGTTAAAAATCAAAGAGCACACACATTATCCTGTCTTATCTATTCTGCCTTTTTTGTTTTGTTTTGTTTAAGCTTCTTCTTAAAAACCAGAGTTCTTATCTTCAGGAGGAATGATTGTTACCACAGACAAAAAACAGCTATTGTGTTTCTGTTAAAGGATTAACAAAAAATTAAAGTTAAAACACAATATTACCTCTCCATGTTTCTCAAAAAATTCATTTTTATGTCGATGCAATGTATCAATAGCTTTGGTTAAGATCTGTGGTATTCTGTCTTTAATTGTAAGATATGCAAACGATCTAGAAAAGAGAGCCACATACACAGTATATTACTTAGCATTAATACCAACAGATTGGCCGTGGTTGTTTCTAGAACAGCTCATTTGAATTCAAAGCCCTTTGCATACAAGCATTATAAAGTAAGCCAGCATTGTTTGACTACTACAATAAGACATCGGAAAATCAGCAAACTTCTCTGGTGTTACATGTCATGAAAGCTAACAGTCTTTGTGCCTCTAATCCCAGGTTCTCCCCTGGAGCCTGTGCCATCAATCTTATCTTTCCCATTCTAATCCTGTTATTTTCTGGAATCAGAAACTAGTTTAACAACATGACAGGACAGAAAAAAGATCATCCTAAATATCAAACAGGCTCTACTCCAGGGTTATTACTAACTTCACCTACTTGGAAAGATGAACGAGGCAATGGATGTAAAATTGCCTGAGAGCATCTACTGTACTAGAGGAACATAAAGAATGAAAGCTATTTAGGAACCTACTTCTCACTTTTCTCTTAGTCTATATCCTTAGCCATTTTTTTCTTTTCAAAGGTTTTCTCTGCTCTCTTCTCTACCTGCATAAGGACTCCTACTCTGCCCTCAAGATGTTACCATCTCACTCTCGCAACCCCAAAATCAAGAAATTTTCGAGACGTGCCAAAGAACAAAAAAAGCTGGAAGAAAAACTTGAGCATACTTGAATTTTAAAAAAAAACTGGAAGATATTTTTTATTTTAGACCTACAAAAATCAAGATTTACAGATTATCATTTTATACAGAAATAACTTTTTAAGCAAATGCACAGGATTCCATTAGAAAAGACAGATTTTAGGACACGATGAAATTCTGTGCATTTTTAGAGCACAAAACATAGCTGATCAGTTCATTTGTATCTTCAGATTACCAGACACAAAGTACAACAGTTAAGTTTTGGAGGAGTCAAAAGTCAAATTGCAGATTTTCCACTGAGGGAGGAGAGAAGGAGGGGTGTCAGGGCCCCTAACCACAACCGACCCCCACCTTGTCCAAGGGTCAAAAGTACTAAATATCCTCAGTATTTCCTCAGAGGCCTGCATCTGTGAGGGTAAAGTCCCAGGTCAGGACTAGGGTGGAGCCAGAGGAACCCAGGACTCAAAATTTAAGGTTCCACACACTTCCTTCCTTATATTTTGCATGACTCTCAATGATTGCCTGCTTAAATTTGGGGCCACTGGTGCCTCTCTGGTCTCCATCCACTCCGAGTAAGGTCAATTTCGCCTAGGAGCTCCTCCTCCCCCGCAGCCCCCCCCCCCATATTTTGCAGTAGGTTATATCTCAAATATAAATTTGGCCATTCGATTTATGCAAATAAATATGTATTTTTTTACGGTCGTCCACAACTTGATGTAGAAATCTGTGACAGGACGCGGAAAACCAAAAGCTGCAGGCATTAATAGGGAGACCACAAATTAATCTCACCGGCAATAGGAAGAGACACATTTCTCAATAGAGCTGAGATTCCTAGCTTTTGCAAAAAGATTTTAGCCCCCCAAAGTGCGTTTATTACATAAGTGAAAAATGATTAAAGCTATGCCGCTGCAACACGCTGAAAGGGGACAGAGGAGGCATAAACTCGCAAGACAGTCATGAGGAGTAAAAAAGCAGCAACATCGGATCACTCGAAAGACAACACAAATTAAAACATAAGCCACTAAGAGGCCCGAACAAGGACAGGAGGCGGCGTGACCCCAGGACTTCGGCGGGGTGCGCAGCCCGCTCCCAGCAGTCAGGAAGAAGGCGGGAAGCCGAGCCGAGCCCGGAGCCCGGCCGCAGCCAGCAGGTGCGCCCCCGCCCCGGGCCGCCTCGTTCCCCGGCCGTCCGAGGAAGGCGAGCAGACGCGCCGGGGAGCGGGGCCCTGAGGCCCGCCGCAGCTCCCCCGATGGTAACCCACAGGTTCCCGGCAAGGCCCGGCTTTCCGCAAACAGAGCAGGAAGAGGAGCAGGGGCGACTGGGCGAGGAAAGCGACACGAACCCTACGTCCTGTCCCGACAGGGACGCCGGAGACCCCGCCATCATCTCCACGCTGCCGGCGCCTAAACTCGCGTCGCACCCGCCGCAGGAAGAGAGGCGGTGCCAGCGCGAAGGAGGAGCTGAGAAAGGGAGGGACGTGGGTTAAAAAAAAAAAATGCTTTTGAATGAAAAAACTTTATTTGGTGCCCGTACGAGAGACAAACAACGGCGCGCTCGGGGACGCGGAGATCTTCCGGGGACGAGGGCGGGGACAGCTGAGGGTGACGAGAGCAGCGGAATAAGGAAGCGGGCGGAGGCGGAAGCAAGCAGGGACCGGGAGGTCCCAGGCACTGGGGAGCGGAAAAGGTCGCGGCGACGCTGGTCACGTGGTCCGGCTGTCACGTGCAGCGGGCGGCTCACGCTCTGCGGACCCGGAGTTCGGTGCGCCTGCGCAGTGCGGGCGCTGGGAGGGCCGCCCGAGCGGCAGAGCTGACTGCGGGAAGCGTGACCTGCGGCCGCACTCTTACTTGCAGCAGGGTCGGGTAAGCTTGCTCGCTTGGCACATCCCTCGTGTCTTCCGGCGGAGAGGTTAGTGCACTGCTTTTCCCTAGCTGGTTGTATGGTCTTGCACCGGGGCCCCAACCTTTGCACCCAGGCAACTCTGAATCGCTCGGGTCACAGGTTTCTCCGGTACCGCTGCGGTGATCTTTGGTTGACTTAGCTGGGAATGAAAAAAAGCACGCAATCCATAAACACTGAGCGAGCCCTTTTTTGAGCCAGTACATAGCGGTTACCGCAAAGATTTTTTTAAAATTGAGCTTAAGAGGGGCGCCTGGGTGGCGCAGTCGGTTAAGCGTCCGACTTCAGCCAGGTCACGATCTCACGGTCTGTGAGTTCGAGCCCCGCGTCGGGCTCTGGGCTGATGGCTCAGAGCCTGGAGCCTGTTTCTGATTCTGTGTCTCCCTCTCTGTCTGCCCCTCCCCCGTTCATGCTCTGTCTCTCTCTGTCCCAAAAATAAATAAACGTTGAAAAAAAAATTAAAAAAAAAAATAAATTGAGCTTAAGGAATTGGAAGGCATGCTCCCAAAGGTTAGAGCCACTTATCCGTTGAATCGCAGCTTGGATGATACGGTTTTCTTATCTGGTATTATTGTTCTTAAAAAGTATAAAATGTGCCAAGTAACTGAGTAGCTGCCTTGTATTTCATTCGGAAAATGTGAGTTGAATACCTACCGTATATTGGGCACTATGGTCACAGAAGACCATGAACGGAAGACCAGTCTTATCCTCAAAAAGCTTACATTCTAGAGAAGAGAAAGAGAAATCTATTCTTTTCTATGGTTTCTTCTTCAGCTTTGTCACTGTTGTTGTTTTGTTTTTGTTTTTGTTTTCCTTTTTAAATCATCTCTGCACCCAATGTGGGGCTGGATATCACAGCCCCGAGATCAAGCAGTTGTTCGCTTCTCGGACTGAGCCAGCCAGGCGCCCCTAGCTTTGTCGGTAGTTAGTATCTATCTTACTGACTTGTCCCGTTTATGGCCTGTCACGTCTGATATAGTGCAAGATTCAAGACATAGGGATTTTCGTCTTTTATTTTCATGTGTATTACCAGCAAGTCGGGCATGTCAGGCACGTGATAGGAACTCAGTTCATCTTTGTTGTATGAATTGACAAATTAGAAATACGAGTTCCGCAAGTGATGTTAAATGCAATGGAAAAATAAAAAGTGGAGGAAAATAGAGCTTAAGGAATTGGAAGGCATGCTCCCAAAGGTTAGAGAGAGTGGGTGTTGGTTGTGCATCTTAAATGAAGTGGTTGGGGAAGATTTCACTGGGTAGGACTCTGTTGGAGCAAAGATCTGAAGGAGGTGAGGGAATGAGCCTTACAGAGTCCTAGGAAAAGAGCGTAACGAACTGTAAGTACAAAAAGCACAAAGATCCAAAGGACAGAGTGACTGGAGCAAACTGAGCAAGACATAGAGCTACAAGAGATGTTACGGTGATGAGATGAGAAGGCAGCACCAATTTTGTGCAGGAAGAAAGATGTGATCCAACTTGCGTCTTCAAAGGATCACTTTGGTTGCTTCTGTAGGAGGCAAAGAACAGAAGCAGGGAGACCCATTAGGTAATCATGGGAAAGACAGCCACTTGGACCAGGGTGGTAGCAGTGTGGGTTGAGACCTGGTGCAAATAAAGCCAGTGGGATTTGCTGATAGATTGGGTATGGGGAATGAAGAGGCAAGACGGATTACAGGTATTTGCCTTTAACAGAGAAAGATAAGGGTGTGATTGCTGTTTTGTGAATGGGGAAGACTGTGGCAAGAATAGAATCTGAGGGAAGATTTTGGAAGTTCAGTTTTGAGCATGTTACATTTTTCACATAGGGATAGATACCTGCTATTCATCGATGTGTAGATAACATCTAAGGAGCTGAGAATAGAGAAGAAAAATGGCCCAAATACTGAGCAGTGGTGCTTTCAATTGTTGATGGGATAGGAAAATACAGAGGAGAAAGAAGGTACCACCAGTGAGGTAGGAGGAAAGTGGCCAGTGTGGTATTCTAGAAGCCACTTGAGGAAGGTGCTTCCAAGAGGGTGGAGTGATCAACTAATCTGGTCTTGCTTATAAGTCGGATACAATGAAGACTGAGAAGTGACCATTGGACTTAAAAATAGGGAAGTCGTTTGTGGCCTTAACAAGTGGGTTTTGATAAAGTGGCAGGGATGAAAGCCTGATGGGAAGGGGCTCAAGAAACTCAGAGAACAGGAGTTAGAGACAGTAAATAAAGCTTTTAAAGGAATGGAACTCAAAGAAAGAGTAAATAGTATATGGAAGGGAAGAGTTGTTTTTATAAGATGAGAGAAATTAAATCACAGTCATCTACTAATAGGAATGTGCCGGAAAGATGGAAAAATAAATAGCACGAAATAGGAAAGAGTTTAACCTTTCCTGCTGCAGGCAGGAAGGGGTGAGACTTGGTGTGCCTGTGGAGGACCTGGTTCCAGGTGGGACCAGCAGAAGGGAAGCCAGAATCCATGGGCACGGAATCAGTAGGCGGGCAGGCAGATCATGGTGAGAGCGTGTGGAAATTCTCTTCTGATTGTTTCTGTTTTGTCAATGAAAGAGGAAGCGAGGAGGCATTGGAGGCGTGAGGAGAGGGCACAGAGTAGACTATGGTGGGGAAAGAGGTTAAGGTTGTTGAGCAGCAGGAAAGGAGCTCCTAAAGGAAGTGGTCATGATTCTAGAGTGAGACCAGCTGGCATGGTTGGTTGGTTGGTTGGTTGGTTGGTTGGTTGGTTGCCTGCCTGCCTTTAGCCACGTTCAGATGCAGTGCAGGCACAAATAAGGGGAAGTATATTTGATTCTGGTTGATGTTATGTCATGTGAGCCTGTGGATGAGCGAGGGATTCAAAGGATTTGAGGTATATGGGCGAGAGATGGTAGACCACGGAATATAGGCTGAGCATGGCAGAAGTGAAGTGAGTGGGGAGTGAGCGACAATGAAAGGGTGTCTGGATCATTGGACCGTTCGGTCCTATTGGGGATGAAGAATTGGGATTAAGAAGAGGAGTGAGCTTGAAAGACCAGACATGGGTGCCTGGGTGGCTCAGTTGTTAAGCATCTGACTTTGTCTCGGGTCATGATCTCTGTTCATGAGTTTGGGTCCCACGTTGAGTGAGCTCGAGCCTTGCTTCAGGTGAGCTTGAGCCCCGCTTCAGGTGAGCCCTGCCTCTCGCTTTCTTTCTTTCCCTCTCTCTCTCTCTCTCTGCCCTCGCTCACTTAGCCCTTCCCCTCAAAAAAAAAAAAAAAAAAAAAAAAAAGACATGATGTTTGGAGCAGAATGCTTGAAATTGAGAATATGCGGTTACAGTTACTGATAATGACATGTCTAGAGCAGGACTCTCCAATAGAAATCCAGTGCAAGCCACATAACGGCATTCAAAGGTTTCTAGAGGTTTGGAAGGTAAAAATAAACAAGTGGCATCAATTTTAATTTACTTTATGTAACCTAATATATCCAAAAATAGCATTTCAACAACTTATCAGTGTAAAAATTAGGGAGATGTTTTACTTTTTTGTATTAAGTGTAAAACACAAAGTACAAAAAGCATTTAGTGTTATTGAAGCACATTTCAGGTGCTCAGTAACCATATGCGCTCCGTGGCTACTATGCCACCGGGAGCATGTGACCGTGGGAGGGAGCGATGCAGGAAGGGTGGAACGCAAGATCGGTCGGGGAACTCGGGCTGGGGAATTGGAAGAGCCGCGTCCACCACGGATCTGCACAAAACGTAACGCAGAGCTTTTTAGAGTCATTAACACTCTAACATACTTTCAACCTTTAGATTTAGTTTGTACAATTAAAATTTAACTTTACTGAGATGCGCCCCAGTTTTTCACAAAGCCTAAATTGTGTGTGTGTGTGTGTGTGTGTGTGTGTGTGTGTGTGTGTGAGAGAGAGAGAGAGAGACCTTAAATGCTACATCTGTCTTCCTCTGCAAAGATTAAGAGAAGACACGCTTCTTGTTTGTCTGGTAGCGTTTGCATTCTTTGTCCTAGTGCTTTGCGTAGCCTCTATAGGAAGGCAGTCTTTAGTTTCAAGGTAAGAATTTCCTCGAAGAGAATGGAAGGCTCTGTGTATACAAATTTCCGACATGTATTGTAATTAGGTTCTTCAACACCCACTGGTTGAGCCGGCAGGGAATAGTACTAATTAAAGGTCAAGTGTAGTAGCTCGTTGGACTAGAACTAAACACCCAGTTCCAGCTTTTGAGGTGTTTTGAAAACAGCAGCTTCTGCCCCCCTCGCTTCGCCGTGACTCACCCTTGTCCTCTTCCTCCTGGAGGTAGGTAGTAAATCGTAGTGGTTACCGTGTCGTCTTTGGAATTGGAAAAGCCTGGGTTGTAATTAGGTCTCAGCAAGGGTGTCCGCCTCTCGGCCTCAGCTTCTTCGTCTGTAAAATGCCTCCTGGGGTAACAGTGAGGTAAAGCGGAGGGCCTAGTGTGTAGAAAGTACCCAGTAAGGCCCTGGTCTCTCTCTGTTCCCGGTCTACCTTATTACCGAACGTAGGTTTCTTAAACATACATCTGACCGTGTGAGTGTCACGTTGAGAAGCTGTGGCTTCCCCCTACCTGTAGACACTTTTGCATCACT